ACAATCATCATTTTCAGTATCAAGGAATTTATCACAGGTGTATTGGATTAGACAAGGTTGAAGCGTAGAATATTGAGAATAAGATAAATTGCCTTGAGGAGAACCTTTATGAATATTACTTTCATCGGATAATTCGTCTGAATGAATTTCTTCAGTATTCTTTGTTTGTGCAGGGGTAGCACTTTGATGTAAACCTATTTCTTCATTTGGTGAATCTCTTGATATAAATAAAGACGCTGACGAAGTGTCTTCTTCTTTATAAGCAGTAGACTTATGTTGAGCTATTGGTACAAAATTTTACATCTCAGTTGCAGGAAACCTCGAGGGATGGTTTACCTTCTGTAGATCTTGTAAATCTACAGTTTGTTGATCTAATTGTTATGCATTAAATTGTCCTGCATTTTTTACTACGGGATATTTTTCATCAGATATGCGGGGTTCAGGGTGTTTTGAATCCGATGGCAAATACAATTTATCTTTTCCTCCTAATTGTTCTATTTTTTTTTCATATTCTTTACATGGTTTATCAGTTTTGAGTGATAGTTCACTTCTTGCAGAATAATGTGCTGTACTTATAGTGCAGGAATGTTTAATAAAACATGTGTTCCTAAATTTCTTTATTTCCGCTTGTTCATATAAATCAATTGGCATATATTCCCCATCAATATATTCCTTTAATTCATTATTTTTTAAATTTATATATTGATTTAGTGTAACCCATTCGTTGTGTAAATCTGCATAAGTGTTACCATTAAGGTCACTAATTTTTTTAAAAATTTCCTCTGAAAATTTATCATACATATTTATGCACCTTTTCAAACATAGACGTACTATCATTAGTATTGGTTATATATGCTGTTTTAACCATTCTCTCTATATTAATATTTATTATATTTGTCCTTCTTTTTTCTGCTGTTAAATAAATAATTTTGGAAAATAAATTATGTGCAATGAGTAAACACCCTTACTGAAGTATATTTAATATTACAGCATCATGATTTTATATTATAAAATTTACATTAATGAAAATAATAATCTTCAGAAAAGTTATAAATTAATGTGTTTTAACATATCATGAGAGTTCCTTGAATGTGAATATATGGAAAATTTGAACCAATAACATTTTCAAGAACAGTCATTAATAAGGACAAGCATAAAATAATTGAATTAACATGCGTATTTGTTTAAAGAGCTCATACACTTTTATGTATTAAATGAATACAAGTTGAGATATACACAAATATGAGGTTTAGAAATTAAGCTATGACAAAATATACGTATAGAGACAAGATAAAATGGAAACAAATATGTAAAATGATGAATGATGAAAAGTTACATTTATGTGACATTTACAAAGGAAAAAAAACTAGTTCTAAGAAGTGTTATTTACATATGTGTGTGTATAACTTTTTTATTTTAATAGTAAAGAACACACATGTGTAATATCACATGTAAAAGCACTTAGAATTACTTTATTTCTCTTTCTTGGTAAAATGGATTTCTCATAAATAATATTATCAGCAAAAAGGAGTAAAACTAGATATGGTATAAAATAAAAATTTGAGTGCTTATATATTCGTTGCAATGCTACTATTCTGGCATATTCTAATTTTTATAATGTTTCATATAAAGACATGGATTAAATAATACATAAATTGTAAGTAGGTTTATTTTATTAATAGAAAAAATATTTGTTATTAAAATGATTGCTTTTGGTATTTATAAAAAATTACAATAGGTGTAATTTGAAAATTAATTATTTAGGTTTTTCCTATCTACACACATTAAAATGGATTTTTTAGAAGCAATTTCCCTTATTATGCATATGATTATTTATTACATGTAGGTATATTTTTTTATTTCAGAAACATAAATTTTATTGGGGTTACAATTATAGTACCTTTCTGTAAATGAAGTCGAACAGAAAATTAAAATAACGAATAATTGATAAACAGTTGTTCAAATTTACCATGCAACTTTTTGAAAATTACTAAAACATATTTGCTAACATTTTTTATGGCATTAATACTAAAAAAATAACAAATATTTATGACATACATATATTTCTCACATAGATTAGGAATATAATACATTTATATCTTCAATAATAAGACGCAAAAATAACTCGTACTTATTATTATCATTATTATTATTATTATATTTTTATGATTTAGTTGCTACTTTTTGATTCAATTAAATAAAGTAAAAAGATTACTAAGTTTTAACTCTGTATGTAAAATTATGTTTCTCTATTGTTTTAAACATGACAACTTTTAACTTTTTTATTGTATATACAATTTTTTTATATTTAAAAAAATATAAGGTACGTTTAAGGTACATATGAATTATATAAAAATTCCATATATGCAACAGTATATTTAAAATTAATTACATTAGTAATTCAGTAGTTGAATAAAACGACATATTATGCTTGTTTTGACATTCTGTTGCATGTTACTATATATCAGCCCTTTCATTATAGCTCTATTTTAATGTTCTTATCATTCATTGATAATTAGTAGCAATAAAGTATAATTAAAACGTTTTCAAATGATTATGAAGAACAGCATTTTTTATTATAAGAAAAGTTTTAAAAATGTGATTTTTACCTCACATATTTGGAAAATTAGGTGTCATTAGAACACATAATTTTTGCTATATTTTCATTCGTTATATTGTTAATAGGATTACTCCTTTTTTTGTTGGTTTCTTTATTCTGTACTATGTAATGTTCACATATAAATATCTCTATTGAAGGATATTAATTTACTTGTAAAAAGTTAAATGAATAAAGGAATAATAATAATTCGTGAAATATATTTACTCATAACAACGCTTCAATGGAAAATAGTTTATTGTAAATAACACACTATTTCATTTTTCATATATATGCATTACATATTTAGATAAGAAAATATATTGATTATGTATTTGTTACTTCTACGTATCACATTTAGTCAAGAGTATTTGTTTACTTAATGTAAAAATCTAATTCTTCAAAGTTATAAATGTCTATTTTTGTATTTTCTTTGTCATTAGTGTTATACATATATATCTATTAATGTTAAGCTCTTTTTAGACATAACAGAAATTTTTAATGCTTATAAATTCGTTTTAGCTTATAATGAACAAATGTTAACTTTCAATGTCATTCATACGTATTTTGAAGGAAGAATTTTAGTTAAAAATACGTTTACTTATGATCTACTAGATGCAATACAGAGGTTTTCCATACTTATAGCAATGCATTTAATGGTATACTACTATTGATAAAAGTATACTTTCATATAACAATACAAAATATAGTTTTATGAGTTGTACAAAACGTTCGAAAAAGACATTACTTGTTTTAATATAATTTTCTCCCGGACTTGAAAAAAATATTCTTTTCATTATAAAATTTGATGATGCGAACTTTATCTAATGAGTTAACCGCACGTTATATTGAGATGAGACCCTTATTATGTAATATTTGTATTAATGTTTTTATATATAATAATTTTAATGAATTCATATTGATTATTTTATTTTTATATTAGCTATTTGTAAAACATATATATTAATAAGATATATCAAAAAAGAATATATAAAACACATATGTTTTAAGGGCCACCTGAATGAATGCATTTAAACAATGTAAAAAACATTTTTTTTCTTATATGCACAACATGAATATATTTATTACATTAAAAATACAAAACACCGTTAAAACAAGGAAACAGTGCAAATGATTTGTGTACTATTATATACATTGAGGAAATATAACATTCTATTTCGCATGTGTTACGACGATAATTTGTTTTAAAAAAAAACTGTTGCATGATAATTTGTAGATTCATAACAACATAATGTTTAAAATGTTTTGTCATTGTTATGTTTTTATTCTTTAATAAACTCAGTTGTGAATTCTCAATTTAAATGAGATATTAATAAAAGAGGCGTAGGAATTTATTATTTTGTTAAATAAAATATATTCATTTCTTCATAAATAGTTTCAAAAAGAATTGTCTCGTAGGAATTAATGTTAAGGTGTGTTTGGATAATGTAATAAATCAAATGGAATGTTTTAATTACAAAATAAGTGAGATTTGGGAATTTTCTTATTTTTTCTATTATATTTTTTGGGGACCATGAAAACGGTTATTCAAGCATTTCTTTTTATTTTTTTTCAAATGTATTTTATTAATATTCGTCACAATTATTTATTTTATATATAGAAAAATATCAATCTTTCTATGTTCATATTATAAGTATTAAAAAATGAAAACTGCAAAAAATAATTTTTTTTTTCTCTATTGTGATAAATTTTAAGCACTGAAAGGCTCAATGGATTAATTATGAAATATCACACATTGCACAATACGCACATAATTTATAGCATTTTGTGGTACACAATATAAACTTTTTATATATTAAAATTAAATTACAGTATATAATGTTCATTGTTTTACGTCACACAAGTGTTTGTTTTATTAATATAATAAAATTTCAATACATCTATTTTTAAAAATGCAAAAAAAAAAAACAATTACTCTAATAACTGGTGAAGGAGGGTAATTCTGTAGTAAAAAGAGTTCCCCATTTTCGGTATATACTTAAATCATCAACTTTTTGTAAAAGGTATGGTTATTGTTATAACAAGGTTCTTCAATAGATGGTAACTTAATAGTCACATATAATCAGTAATAATGTGAAAATATTATCGTTTGTACTTTGTGAAATTAAGAATTATTTGTATTATAACTCATTATTAGTAGGTTTATATGATATTATATTAAATTATTATTTCGAAGGAGAATAATATCCTTTGTATATTTATGAATAATTAAAAAGTATTCAACTTTTACGGTAGTAATAGTGTCTTAGAATTGTTTACTGTAAGAAAAATATTTTTACTGATAATTTATTGTCATCAGTTTGAAATTAATTCACTATGATAATCAAATTATCAGTTTATTATGTGTTATTACATTTCATTAGTGTATAGACTGAGACATACAATGATCTTTATATCATGTAACCAAAATATAAAAAAATCAGTATGGGAGCATTAAATCGGATAAATTGGGTATATCCCTTTTTTTAATATATAGATAAAATAGCGTATTAATATTCTATATAATTTTAAAAAGAGTTAAAATATTTTAGTTTTTAAGGAAGCTTATATTTATTTAATAATATATTTCACTCTTTTTGATAAATTGACAGAACGAAAAATTTCCCAATTTACCGGCCTATGAAAAGTATAAAGAATTTGATAAAATTCAAATTATAGATTATTATAGTGATTACTGTGATAAATTAGATCAGTTTAACGATGATGACAAAAATCTTTGCAAAAAAATTGCAAGTTATTTAAAACAATTATCTGTTAAAAGCGAAAATGAAAGAAAAAACGGATGTTATTACTTTACCCACTGGTTCTATGGTCAAATAGGGAAGAACTATTATAATGGGAAGGAACTAGAAAATAAATATGCCAGAGATGAACTGTTTAACTTAGTAGCGCTGATAATTAAAGATAATGATGTTTTGAAACACTGTGCATGTTACGAATCAGGTAACCCGGAAGTATGGAAAGAAGAGAAAGATTTACATGATTATTTT